GGGCTGGCCTGACTGCCCCACAACGAGGGCCGGGGTGTGTGTGTGAATGTGTTGTGGCCACTATGGAGCATTTTCTGGAAGTCACCCTGGCCTGGTGGGGTCCCTGCAGATCAGATTCCGGAAAGCGACATCTCTGCACACACAAGACCTGTGTTCAAGTTCAGATTTGAGAGGGGCAGCCTGCTGAGGCCTGGTGTGTGGTGGGGGGAGGGTTGCAGGGTTGGGGTTGCTGGGGAGGCGGGAAGTGGGGTGTCTTCCTCCTTGATCCTCCCTCTCTCTCCCACAGAGCTGGTCTTCCCGCCCATGGCAAACGTCTTCTACGCCAGGAACAGCTTCAGCCTGGACTTCCTGCTCCGGCCCAAGGGCCCACCGAGAAAGACCCCCCCTCCCACAACCCCACTCAGGAGCCCCCGAGCCAGGGAGATGGACATCAGTGCCACCTTCCCGAAGATCAAGGCCACTGGCCGCAGGATTGCCCGGGCTCTTTTCTGAGGGGGAGGAGCTCTGGAGGGGGGGACCCACACGGCTCTGTTGGGGACCCCCAGGCCAAGACTGGAAGTTCCACCCAGGACATGAAGTGGGGGGGGCCTTCAGCAGCACCCCAGGTTGTGCAAGAGTCTCGGAGTCTCCGCTGCCCAGAGGACCCGAAGGCAGGAAGGATCGTGGGGCTGAGAGGAGTAGCCCTGGTAAAGGCCCCTCAGGTGGTCTCAGGTGACTGAAGGGTGGGGCGTGGCAACACAGTCCCATAAGTAAGAAGAGTCCTTTAGTACCTCCAACTTTGCCCCCAATGTCCAGTTCCCTTCGGCTGGAGAAAAAACTCTCCCAAGAACAGCCTTTAAGTGGAGGAAATTCAGTCCAAAACAAAGTACATGCGAACTGTAACTAAAAATCCACACAAACCACACTGCAGCAATTAACTGGACAGGGCAGGAGAAGGAATTGCAGCCTTGAAAGGCCAACAAACACACACACAGTTGGGAAGATGCCAGGAACCCAGATGACCCTCGACAAACAAAGATAACTCACAATTTGCTTCCAGAAATTTTGCTGTGGGCAAACTCCCTTTTTAAACACTCTGTTCCCAGCTGCAGCTGATGAAGGGAATCAGGGTCCTTTCCTTCCCCGTAAGCCATGCAACTCACATTGCTCCCATCTCTGTTCCTCCCTGCATGGCCTAGAATGAAGAGGGGGTGGGCCTGGGTCTTCCTCTGAATTCCTACTCCCTTGCTCTACCTCTTCCCTGCTCAGCCCAGTCGGACAGTGCCCCTCCCCAGTTTCTTCCCCAGCCAATGGAGCCACACTCCCGCTCCCAGTCAGCTGCTCGGCCTCCCGCTCCAAGTCAGATTCCGACAGAGGCATGATAGCCTTCTTTGCTTCTTCTCTAAGCAGAGACTCTCCTGTATGTGTGTGCGTGTGCACACCTGCACGCCTGTTCACAGGGCCTTTGCTGAGATACAAATATGGGGGACGGGGCTGAGTTTATTCCCCCCATCCCCCTTGATGGCCTCTCTGCCCTCTGAGAGTCTGTGAAAGGGCCCATTTTCTGGTCCTCCTTCCCCAAGTGGTGGGAGCTGGGTTGTTTTTTGGGGGGAGGGGGGTTTCATAAAGGTTGTGGGTGAAGCTGCTGACCAGGGTGGGTCATCTCCCAAGAAGGGGGTGTCCCAGGCTGGCTGGAGATCCCTGGATCCTCTGGGATCTTCCTGAATCCGGTGGCCTTGGCTAAGGGCAAGAGGGGTTTTAGGTGGAGGGTCGCAGGCGTTGCTGTGAATGGGGGACGGGGCTCTGCTGAGCAGGAGAGATTAGTGGGGACCTCTGGGGAGACAGGCAAGCCTGGGCCAGACTAGATGGCCTCTACCTCCCCCCCTCAAAAGGAAGCCGGTGAGTCCCAGCAGGAGAAAGTCCAGCCGCGATTTTTCTCACCCACTGGCCAGGTTGAGTCTCCGTCTTTCGAAAGATGGCAGGAAAAGCCAGAAATTCATCAGCTGCAGAAAAAAACCAAATCCTTTTGCATCCGATACCCGGATTAACTCATGAGGGTTTGGAGGGAGGAAGATGAGGAGGAAGATGAGAATATGAAATAAAATCTCTGGTGTAAATCTTTGTGGAGAATCTATGGGGAGAAAAGGACCCCTTTCAGCCCCTCCCCCCAGGAAGGCCCACACTGCAGGGGGTCAGTTGATGGGCAGGGACCGGAGGGAGGCTGGGAGGGGCCAGGTGATGCTAGGTTGGACTAGATGACCTAAAAGGTCCCTTCCAACTCTGATTCTCTGCTACTAATCTATATTCTGATGCCTCCCCATCTCCTCTCCTGGGGCTTCCAAGGGGGGGTCCGAGTTCGGCCTTGGGGCTGCAAAGGGGGGCTCGACAAGAGGGAAATTGACCCTAATTGACTTAATTAGGGAGTTAATCAAGAGGGGAGCCCTCCCTCCCTTTGTCCTGCAGAGGCTTCGCATTAACCGGGAATTATGTGGAGGCGACAAGGGGAGGCAGCAAAGGAGCAGCGGAATATCGCCCGGAGCCTGCGCCAAAGGACCCGGCGGTGGCTCCTCTGCCTGGAGACGGATGACGCTCCAAAGGCTCGCTTTTTCATTGGGTAGGACGGATATTTCACTTTCTGGAAGTCAGAAATAGAATTCCGCCACTCTGCCCCTCCCCCATCTTGGTCTCCCCTCCCCCTCCCCCCCACTTTCCCCTCCCTCTCGCTCTCTTCTCTCCCCTTCACTCTCCTTCCCCCCTCTTCTCTGCCCCTCCCCCTCCCTCTTCCCCCTCGGTCCCTCCTGTATTTAGAGGAGGGGGCAAAGACCAGGGAAGGTGAGACCCCTTTGTTGCCCCCCTTTAGGGTTTCCACTCTACTCTAACTTTGTCCCCTCCCTCTGGACAAGGGGAATTGGGTTCCCATGAGGTCTTCCAAACGGCAGGAGCTGAGAAAGGGGGGAGGGGGAGAGTTTCAAGGAGATGACCAGGCAAGGCTGAAAGAGGAAAAAGAGGGAAGGGAATCTTTTGAGGGAGGTGAGTTCGAACAGGGCCTGAAGCTTCGCCCTCCTTGTCTTGGAGGAGTTTCAACCTCTGCAGCACCTCCGATGCTTCCTGGTGGCCTCCCATCCTCAGGCTAAGCAGGCTGGTCCCTCTCAGCCAGCGGAGGCCACAGGAGGCTGGGCAGCTGCCGGCTGTTGAGGGCGGAAGATGAAAGATCAGCTGATGGTTGGTGATGCCAGATCAGGCCAGGGCTCAGAGCCCCAACCCTCCCCCAGCTGCAGCAGGCAGGCATCCCACAGGGCGCCTATCCTGGGATGGCCTGGATCCCTCACTTTCCCCCTGTCCCACAATTGTGTCTTTGGACACAGCCAGTCACACAACATGGGCCCAGATCCATCGCTCTCCTGGTCAAAGCAGAACTTCTACGCTATTCACGTTTCCCCTCCCCCGCAAGATTGTGATTTCCTCTGTGTTCTTCCTGACACACACACACATACACACACACACACTCACAGAGCAGCACTTCTTCCTCCAACCCCATCAGCTGCAGAGGCCCTTGGATTCCACTTCCCCAGTCTGAAGCTTTGGGCTCCTCCGAAGCAGAACTGAGCAACTGGCCAGGATCCAGCAGGCAACAAGCCAGGATTCCTCACCAGGGCAGCTCAGGGATTGTCCTCCTCCACCCCATGGCTGAGTCTCCAGGTGGCGCAGCCACAAGGTCCCCTGGCTCACCGGAAGTTTCCCAGGACTTTTTCATTCCTCCCCACATGAAAGAGGAAAAAGGGATAATAACAATCTGTGGACGTCATTATTTCTGGAAGCCCCTCAGTCGCCTCTTTGAAAGCTGCTCCTGGGAAACAGCCAACCACCCTTGCTTGATTCTCTCAAAATTCACTGATTCAGTTCCCATGATCAATGAAGCATCTATCACCAACGATGCCTTTTCTTTGTTAAGGAAACCTGATTTTTTTTTTCATCATTGATACATTTGGTGTTGTCCCTTCTCCAAGTTCTTGCACGCTGTCTTCCAAGGGGAGATTTTTGCCAATAGGAGCCCAAATCTTCCCTGTATTTAAGAGACTTTCTCCAACGACACAAAGATTCTTCCTGTGGTGGCCCCAAGACCCCAGATGAGGAATTGGGAGGGGGAAATTCTGCCCTTAGAGATCTAGCTGGAGTCCTGCAGAGCCAGTCTGGATGACCTATGGAGGGTGCAAGGCTCAATTGGAGGGCTACCTAAGGGCATCTAGAGATGTTAGGGAGAATGGAGGGGTCTTCCACTCAGGGCTGCCCCATTGAACCCCCTCCCTCTTTCCCGCAGAGCTGGTCTTCCCCTCCATGGCAAATGTCTTCTACACCAGGAAAGATTTCAGGTGGATTTATCGGAGATCATCTAGTCCAACCCCCTGCTTGGGCCTACACCATTTAGGTCTACTCTATACCATTTGAATCTGAACCCAAAAGAGGGAAAGAGCGGGGTGTGGGGTGTCAAAATGGGGCAGGATCTTCCTCCAGTTGTGAGGGAAAGAAATGGTTGATATGGCCGGGTCAATGTAGGGGGGTCTCAGGTGCCCCCCAATGGCTCCCCACAAACGTTCAGGGAAGACCCTGCCTGCTGGCATTGTGCTCCTCCAAAGGGGGCTTGAGGGGAAGCAGAGCAAGGAGGCCTCTGAGCAGGAGGGGGTCCTTCCCCTCCCCGGATCTGCCCACCATCCTCCCGAACCAGTTCTGTCTTCGGACCCCCAAAGGATCTGGGATCCCGAGGCAGCAGAGGGAGGAGCCTCCTGTGGGGGCGGCAAAGAGGAAGGAAGGAGTCCAGGGTTTACGGCTTCTAAAGTTTATTCTTTCATAGCAAAGCGAAGGGAAGGGAAGTGATTCATAAGAAGAATAATGTCGATGAAGCTGCTGTGGGTTCAAAGCCAGGAGAGATGAAGGGGCTAGAGGGACAGGTCGGCCCAGCATCCCAGGGGACAGTCTAGATGGTCTCCACCCCTCCCTCGCAAGAAAGGGAGGCCCCCAAAGGAAGCTACCATCCTCCTCCTCCCCCCAACCTGCCACCTTCAGCCTCCATTTCTCAGAGGTTGCAAACAGGACAAAGAATCATCAGCTACTAAAGAAAAAAATATCCTTTGCATCAGAGAGCAGGATTAATCCATGAGGGCTGCAGAAAAAGAGACAGGGAAGAAAATTAGAATAGAAAGAGACATTTTTTGTGTAAATAACATTTTTTTCTTCCCTTTCAGACCCCCAACCCCAAGGCAGGCCCACACTGCAGGGGGGTGATTGACAGGCAGGGACGAATAGAGGGAGAATCTGCCCATTTCAGGGAGGAAAAGGCTGGGAAGGACCAGGGATTCCTCCCCATTTCATCTCCAGGGGATTCTGGGATTCTCCCTATTTGTCTTACTTACAGGGTTAATCAAGAGGAGCGACCCCCCAACCCTCCCCCCTGCAGACATTTCCTATGAGCAAAGGACATGGGGCCAGGATGGGGGTTGAAGAAAAGGGAGGAGACTGGGGGTCACTTGGCCAGAAATTGTGTGAATTCCCACAAGGAGAAGCGGGGTCAGGAAGAACAGCCTGTCAAGGTTCTGACTAGTGAACCCAAATGAGTCTCCATGGAGACCCAAGAAGGATCATCTGCGACTGGGGGGAGGGGAAGAAGGGGTCCAGTTCACAGTGGAGTTTTGGAGGGAGTTCATGAAGGTGATAGGATCATCATTCTCAAGGGCTTAGCTCCACCCTCCATCCGAGTATGGACGGAGCTGCAGAACGAGCTAACGCTATTAGAGAACAATACCTGAGATGCTGTGTTAATTATCAGCAATCTAGCTGGGAAGATCTCCTGGCATTTGCTGAAGTGGCCCAAAATACCACAGTGCATATTAACATGGAACTCACCCCTTTTAAAATAGCCACAGGGGTGGAATTTGTCCCCATGCCTGAATCCCCTCAGGAACCCCCCTCCACAGTAAGCCTAAAAGGATGGGTGGGTTGCTTACAAACTATTGGGGGGGAGGGGAAATGTAAACCTGGGATCCTCCTTCCCTTCCCTTTTGCAATTTCCCAAAACTTGGAAAAATTCTGCGCAAGATTTTAGCGTTTCTGTGTACTTTTCTTTTTGATTGCAATATTTTTTCTGATCTCTGTAAGGAAAAGCTGCCCAAAATTCAAAAATTTGCTATATCCACAGAAAGGAGATATTTAAAAAAAAATATTTAAAAAAACACCTATAACTTGTAGGAGAGGCTGAGATGAGGGAGGAAGAGGAGAAACTCACCTGCAGGAGGTTGGATGGGAGTGGCTGGAAGGAGAAAAAGAGCCAATCAGGACCCTTCATGGGCTGGAGGACTCAGGGGGTCCCCCTCCCCACTGATAGCCCATAATAGGTTGGACGATCTTCCCTTATAGCCCCCTTGATGAACAGAAGTTCCCAAAACTATTCCTCAAGGAGACCCTCTTGGCCACCTGCTGAGCTCGATGAGAGTCCTCCCCTAGATGGTCCCCTCCCCACAACCTCTCCTCCAGCCCCCCCAGACTCACCTTTCTTGCTCTTCAGGTAGGAGAAGAGCCCCAAAGCCAGGAAGGCCGCTCCTATCACGGCCCCCATGATCCCTGTCCAGAGTTTGCTCCTGGCAGAGCTGGAGGAACGGGGCTCTGGGGAAGGAGAAGGAGCCTCACCTGAGCAGGATGATCAGGCCCCCCGTCCCCCAGGAAGGTTCATTCCGGCTCCCCCCACAGGGAGGTTCTCTCCCCCTTCTCAGGGCAGGAGGGGAGGGACGGGAGGGGCTTACCCCACTGGACGGTGATGGGGGCCTCCAGGCTGACATGCCCCACTTGGCAAGTGTAGACATCCCCCCGCTGGGGCTGGGTCTCCAGCATCACCTGGAGCTGGTAGGTCCAGTCTCCATTCTGGAGCTCCTCCCCGAAGGCCACGCCCTCCTCCTCCAGCTTCCCGTTCTTCAGCCACTGGATCTCGATCTCCAGGGGGTAAAAGCCC